CCTAACCCACCAATGACACTTGAACATTATGGGGACCGGGCTTTGGTCCCCACAGAGCATTTGGTCCTCACAATGTTAGTATTAGTTGAAAAATGGGCCTCACAAAGTGACACAAACAAGTACACACACACACACCCTCTCTTTACACCCATATCCAGTGTACACACTGGTTTCTGAGGCCTGACTCAGTCAACACCAGCAATAAAACTTCATCAGATTTCTCTCCACTGAGATTCTGGCGTGGAGCCACTGATTGACAGTTTACAGGAGACGTGAGCCGTCTGTCTCCAGAACACTGAAGGGTTAGGAGGTTTCTTATTATTTACATGATTATTCTGCACCAACTACTTGTGCTATTTTAGCCACACATGAATCAAAAAGTTCAGCTCCTGTTGGAGATGAGCGCTGTGACATTTGTTTGTTGTAACTTTTATACTTTATGAAATATTTACCTCCATTCAAAAAGGTTTTCCTCCTAGAAACACGTTGATAAATAATAATAATAATTTTTAAAAAATCTCTTAAACGTTATACTTTATTTTTATTTTCTTATACTGCTTAGTTTTTAGCTACTGTTCTGCTACTTTTTGCTTTTAGGTAGCCTTTTGCTTTAATGTATTCTAGCTACCCTTAACAAAAAATAGTACATTTGAAGTTAATTTTTGCAAGAATACTTTAAGTTAAGTATAAGTATATCAAGTATACTACACACCATACTTGTAGTGTACTAGAAAGTATACTGATTTAATACTTGTTTGGACTAAATTGGGACGATTTTATACTATAAGTAGATCAAATGAAGTTTATAAAAAGTAAACTTCAAGTACACTTACTCATTTTTAGTGTAAAATAAGTACTAAGTGTACTTGTAGTACACTAAAATAAACTACTTTTTGCTAAGGGCTTTGGAAACTTTTAGGTACCTTTTTTTACTTTTAGCTTTTAGCTAACATTTCGTTCCTTTAAATGTTTAGTCAGTTTCAGAGTACTTTAAGCTATTTGTGCTTTAAGCAAATCTTTTAAAACCTTTGGCTATATTTTTTTTACCTTTACCTTTTAGCTAGCCTTTTGCAATAATGTATTCCAGCTAGTTTTTGGAAACTTTTAGGTACCTTTTTTACTTTTAGCTTTTAGCTAGCATTTTGAAAGTACTAAGTAACATTTTTCTAGCCTCTTGCTACACATACAGTAGCTTTTAGCTACCCATTTGCTACATTCATGTGTTGGCTAGGCTTTTGCTATATTTAGCTTTTAGCCAACCTTTTGCTGCTTATGCTTCTAGCTAGCTTTTTGAAACCTAGCCAGCTCTTTGCTCCTTTCACCTAGCTTTTAGCTATTAACAGTTTTTAGCTAGCATTTTGACAAGAGGGCATTTTAGCACAGAGGTTAGATAAGGCGAGCCTGTGATCAGAAGCAGTGTTGCCAAGTCCGCTTATTATAAGCGATTTTGAGCTATTTTTTTAAGTCGCTTGCAAATCTTGTGAGTTACGGATTGCGGTTTTTTGGGCTTGTTTTTAAACGTGATGTTGCTTATTTGGACTTGATTTTATTTCTGAGTGAAACTAGTTGATTATCTCCCAGCTCCGCACAATAAAGCAAAAGACGAGCGCTAGTAGGTAGTTTGTTCCTTTCATGCCCCCGTTTCCTGTTTGTGACCACTAGGGGGCTCCACTCACACGCAGATGTCAGGCTGTTTTGTTTTTAAAAATATTTAGAAAAAATATGACTTACATATTTGTTGCATATGCAAAAAGTTTTTTTAATCAGAGCTTAAAAGTATGTTATTCAAAGTGTTTAGCATAATTTAGCTGTTGTTTACGTGTAATGCCATAATAAATTTATGTTTATATTGTTTAAAAATGGCCTCTGTTTTACACAATGTGGTGGGTTGCCAGTTGGGCTTTTTTTGGGCTCGTTTTCATAGAGCCGGTTGCTTGTTTCTATCGTGAGATCTGGCAACACTGATCGGAATGTTTCTGGTTCAATCCTGCGGACTGACAGCATCGAAGGTATGGGTGGGAAAGGTGAAGCACCCACACCTGCCTCCACCCTCATTTGCCCCACTCTGGACCTTTGAGTAAGGCACCTAAACCCCACCTTCTGCTCCCCTGGACACCCAAGATGGCAGCCCTCTGCTCCACACAGAGGGCTGTGGTAGCTCGGTGGTCTGTGGTTGTGTCAGGAAGGACATCTGGATTAAAAACAACTGCCAAGTCTTTGTGCGACTTACTTCACTGTGGTGACCCCTGAAGAAGGGAGTAGCCGAAATAAGGAACTGGCATTTTGATGCTTTTATTTTGAAGTAGCTTTTGAGTAATTTTACCTTTTTCATTTTTCCCTACTTTTTGCTTTTAGCTTATCTTGCAACAGTGCTAGCTAAACTTCTTTGCTTTCTGATTAGCCTTTTAGCTAGTGTCTCGCTACTATAAGCTTTTAGCTACCCTTCTGCTACATTTGGTTTTATCTAGCTTTTTGCTTTCTGTAGCTTTTAACCAGTTTTTGGCTACTTTATGCCTCTAGTTTACCCTTAAGAAAATTTACCTATCCATTTACTCCTTTCACTTAGCATTTTGCTGCTTTTAGGTAACATTTTGCTTTATCAACTCAGGTGTAGCTACTAAATCTCAGCAGTCATAGGGCACTCGTATTTTCTCTTGTTGTTCTGGCGTTTTTGGAGAAAAAGCACTCATGTCAGTGTCTGAGGGTCAGAGTTGATTGCAGCTTTTACCAGAACAGGAGTTTTACACACAGATCACTAAAAAAAAGTTTGGTTTACAGTCACTGAGGTCACTTTGAGTGTTTAAGCTGCACTTAGTTTCAGTTGAGCTCTTTTACTCATTTTAATAAATTGTTGCTCGAGAAGGAGTTATTTGTTTGGGGTTTTTTTTGTTATTTGAAGATTATTATTGTTTGAATACATTTTTTGGTAAAAGGGGGCAGATATTATAAGATTTTTTTCTTCTTTCTGCTGCCTTTCATTTTATTTGTGATTGTATTTCTTATTGTATATTGAATTGTTTGTTTTGTTTAAAAAATGAATAAACTTATAAATAAAAAAATAAGACTTTTATGTGAGTTTTTCTGTTTCTAATGCTGTTTTTTTTACTGTTCATATTATCTTACACTGTCATCTAGTGGCAGCACCGAAACTGCACTTTTATTATATTTGTGTGCAACAGGAATGTGGATGGACTAGTTTTAGCTGAGCTGGGAAGGTTATCCCACAGGGTGTAGCCTTTTTGTGCACACATCAACCACAGTTTATTTATTTAGACATAAGTCATGGTCAAATCACAGTGGAGTCGAGCAGCGGTGATGGACTCTGAACCCAAGTTTCAGGAATTATGTGACCCCCAAGGAAGCACCATGTGTTGGTGAACATTTGAAGAAAAGTAGGTCTGGTACAAATACACAGATATAAATGTTTTACTTTGTTTCATACAGTGCTCCTTGTATTGTAATACTGTGGCTCACTTTTATGACAACCAAAACAGTCCAGCAGCTCCCTCTTGTGGGTCAGAAACATCACTGATGATAGCAGTTCCATCCATCCATCATCTTTACCCTTCTTCCTTTCGGGGTCACGGGGGTCACTGGTGCCCATATCCAGCAGTCACTGTGAGAGAAGCCGGGGACACCCTGGACAGGTCTCCAGTCTATCACAGAGACACAAAGAGACAACCATTCACTCTTTCACTCACACCTAGGGACAATTTAAAGTTACCAGTGGTGACTTTAGCCTCTTTTTGGGGATTTAAATTTTAATTTCAGCACCCCCTGAAAGAAAAACATTAGGATTTTGTTAGGAAACTCTGTTCTCAAACCTTAGATTCACCAAAATATTAATATATTTGGAATAAATGATGACAGTTTTAAACGGGCCAGCAAAATCTGAATTATTTTGCACGAGACGGATCCTCAACACCACCTGTCAATCAGTCCAGCAGGCTCGTCAGCAAATGACCAGTCGGTGACCTCAATTTGTCCTGAAGGTAAACACCCCACCTTCATGATCTACCTCATTATTTTCTTCCAACAATGTTGGGTTTTGCATCACTAACACTTTGTGGTCAGAGGAATTTTGTGAAAAATCATCAGGAAAAAATGGTTAAACTTAGTCAGTGAGGAACATTCAGACAGCGTTACCCTGAGAGTTTAGAGCAGGAGAGGGCAACATATTTACCCCAAGGGCCACATAAAGATATTTAACTTAATCAAAGGGCCACAGAGGATAGGAAAATTTAATTTTCTTTAACACTGATAATCTAGAAGACCTTTTGGGGCTCCTTTTGTTGTTTCTGTTTTAGCATAGCTAGCATGCTTGATAAAAGTATGCCTCTCCGATACTCAAGGAATATAAGACTTATTTTCTGTAAACTAGCTTTTTTAGCAATTATTTGTTTGCCTAAATATGAAAAACAGCTAAATTTTTGCTTTTTTGAGTCCTTAAGGTTGAGTGTAGCTCTGAAAACACACCTTTAATAGAAGTTTTAGCCCATCTTAATCTAAAGGTTTTCAATGTATTTGTTCAAGATGTGTAATTTTATCTTCCGTAGGTTTCGTTAAAAAGATGCTGGTTTTCATTAACTTATGTAAATATAGGACACGGGGGGCCAGAAATGGGGGGCCCAAGGGCCACTTTTAGCCCTCGGGCCATATGTTGCCCACGTGTAGTTTAGAGGGTGGAATACAGTTTATTCTATTTCCAAAACCTAAACAGAGTCTGGAAAAATGTAAAAGTTGGATAAAGGACGGTGACCGACCTTATGAGTAGCTCAGTGATAAAGAGGAAGTACCATATGTTCATCTACACGAAAGTAACGGCAAGTAAATCCTCATTTTTTTGTCATAATTATATGCTTAATGGTTAAATTTAAGGTTAGTGCTTAGTTCTGCTTTGCTTTGTGTGTTTTACATGTAGATGTTGTAACTTCTGGTTGCGTGGTTAGTTTTTGTTTACTATGATCTTTTAAAAGTCCTATTTGTGACTGAAATTTCTTGTTTATGGCCATACCACCCTGAACACACCTGATCTCATCTGACCTCAGAAGCTAAGCAGGGTTGGACCCGGTCAGTATTTGGATGGAAGACCACCTGGGAAATACCAGGTGCCATAAGCCTTTGTACTTCTTACAAACGACACCAGGAGATGCGTTGCTCAACGTCAAGAGCCATTCTAAGGTACTGGTGGTTAAGCACCCCTAAAGGTCAGATCTTAGAATCGCCCCTGGGTACCAATCAGCCTGACATGCATGTTTTTGATCTGTGGGAGGAAATTGGGGAAACCCACGCATGCACAGAGAAAGCATGCAAACTCCACCCAGAAAAGTCAGGCGACCTTCCCGCTGACAGAGATAGCATCGCTACAAACTGAGCCACCTTGCCTCCGATATGGAACGCTTGATTCTTTTAATGTTTTTTAATTTCCAAGTTTTGTTCGAGTGGTGACGCCATGTTATGATGTAAACAATAGATGTGTAAACTATACATCTAGCAGATTGTTAAACGTCAAAGTAAACTGAAAGGCCAAAAGATTTCTTGGAAATAAAACATTAAATAGTTAAAGTGTGAGTTATTTCATCTGAAAACATCTGATCTTTTTTCTTTGAGATTTGTGTTTTATTGTTAATCCTGGATAGTTTATTCTTTACCTGCAGGCTACTGCTGCATGATTGTTTTTATATTTGAGCATGATAGAATGTTCCAGCCGCCATGGGTAGAAGTGTGTATTGTTCTGTCTGCGCTTACTCGACTGTAAGTTTCAGACGTGCTCACTGAATAATTCAGGTTTTATGTCTTGTTGCCATGGCCGTCTGTACGCACACATATTCACACATTAATATGAAAAGGCTGACACACGTACAGTCTCCCCCTGTACTCTTATTAAAACTTTAGTTTTCAGCTGCCTGTCCAGGGTGTGCGTGTGTGAGAGAGAGAGATGTGGGTTTGTGGTATGGTCCCTGCAGGTCCAGTACAATGAACTGACTGTGGAGAAATGCGGCTGGTTTCCAAGAGCTTTATCAGTGCCGCCATCGCCTGCTGATGAATCACAAAGTTTAATTTCTAACCAAAACACTAAAAACTAGAAAATCCTGTTGCTCCTGCTGCTTTCTACTTATGACATGGATTGAAATCCAAGAACAGAAACTCTGTTTATGTTACGCAAACATTTAGAAGGCATTTTGTGTGTCTGTTTGTGTGTACAGGATTATATTTAGATAACGTGTATTACTAAGGTGTGAATGTTTGCCTGGATGCATTTCACACGTTTCCGTTGATGCATTTAAACAGTTGTGGAATAACTCAATTATCAAGTGCTTGAAGACAAAAATATTTAATGTGTGCAAATATTATTTAAGGAATGAATGGTGCATACATTGACTTGTAATACGCTGCTTTGATTATTAGACGCCGCCATGAAAGGTCTTAGATTATTTAGGGGAAATGTGTGTATGCATAAACCACTTGAAGGATTTCAAAGAAGCTCTCAGAAGTGATTGGATGTACATCTACAACTGATTAACTTTCTGAGTCAACTCAATTCAAAATACCTGTTGCAGCTGCTTAACCTTAGCAATCCTAGCAATGGCTAAAACACAGTCAATTTTTATAGAAATTGAGCCAAAGTTTGATGGGGTAGTAACTGAGGATCATCCACAATACCTACTCCAAGCACCACACAATGTGCAAAATCAAAACATTGGCTTTAACATTTGGAGTCAATCCTGTTGGGACAAAAATTAATGAAAGTAGCAGAAAATAATCATTAGATGGACTTTCACAATTGGTTGACTTTTGTTGTCAGCCTAATTTAAAATGGCCCCCACAGCTAATTAATCATACAAAATACATTTAAAAATACCATAACTCTTCATTTAAATGGTAAATGGTAAATGGAGCTTACTTCTATAGCGCCTTCCAGCCCCCTATGAGGGGCCCCAAGGCGCTTTACAGTACCAGCCATCCACCCATTCACACGCACATTCATACACCGGTGGCGGTAGGCTGCCATGCAAGGCGCCATCCAGTCCCACCGGGAGCAACTCGGGGTTAAGTGTCTTGCCCAGGGACACAACGGCACATGGTGTGGGAAGTCGGGATTCGAACCTCCAACCTTCCGATCAGAGGTCGGCTGCCACTACCACTGCACCACGGCCGCCCCCGTTTATTACAGGGTTTTAAACAAGCCAAACAGCAGGCAATACGCATTATTCAAGGAATGCCATTAATTAGCATTAACCATGCCTATAACAGATGGGGATTGATTCCATCCATGTTGACTAAAGTTTTCAGAGTTCTCGGGTCGGGTCGTGGGGACAGCAGGTTAAGCAGGGAGGCCCAGACACCTCTTTCCACAGCCACCTCTTCCAGCTCTTCTGGAAGAACACCAAGGTATTCCTGGGCCAGATAGTGTCTCCTGTGTGTCCTGGGTCTTTTCCAGGGTCTCCTCCCAGTTGGCCATGCTTGGAACACCCTCATAAGGAGGTGTCCAGGGAGCATCCTTACCAGATGCGTGAACCACTGGCTCTGAACTGGCTCTTCTGGTTGTGAAGGAGCAGCATCTCTATTCCGAGTCTCTCCTGGAAAACTGAACTTCTCATCCAACAAAGTTAGGTCAGGTCCTCTGGACAGTTTCTTTTTGTTGAAACATTTCGTCTTTAGTCCAAAAGACTTCATCATTCCAAGGAGCCGAAACAAACTCAGTCTTATGAATAGCACCTCCACATAGTGGATCAACCAGTTTGATGGTGCTCTGGTGGTTGCTGTAGTCCACTTTTTCCCCCGCCACCTGCCCCAAACTCCCGAACTAGTCCAAGGAAAGCATGGGCAAAGTGGTTCAAAACATCATATAGAACTTCTCACCCTATCTCTAAGGCAGAATCCAGCTACCCAGCAGAGAAAACTCCTTTAGATTGTTTGTATCCGCCACCCATTCTTTTGGCTGCTACCCTCTGATTTAGAGATGTGATCCTCATCTCAGATGTGGACTACTCCAGTGAGAGCTGGAGATTACAACACGATAACACTAACAAAACCACAAAATCTGCACAGACGGAATCATGAGATCACTTAGCTGGAACTATCTTTGCCCCTGGCTACATCTAGTGCAATTCCATAATCCTATAATACAGCATTTGTTAAATAGCCTGTATACATGTAAGATTCAAGTCAAAATCCTCTTTTGGCTTTTGATTTTAGTGTACCACTCCAAGACTATTAGTGGTTCTCAAATGGTCACACCTTTCTACAGGCACCCCTATTGATTATCACCTCTGGGGACAACTTCAAGACTCTTCACTTGAACCCTGATATTGTGAACCTATAATCTAGAGAACACATTATAGTAAAAAGACAAGGCACGAAATGCCAAACATCCATGCCAGAGTTTCAGAGATCTCTTGCATTAATATTTGCAGTATGTGTTGTGAATGATCCTCAGCAACTACCACTTAAATTTTTAGCTAATTATTTGTAAAACTGAACAATTTAAAGACGTTTTGGTGTTGTCTAAGGTCAGTTGCAATGACAACCATTTGAAATAAGTTGGACTCTGCAGTTGTAGATGTTTATTAAATTACATAACAGAATACATACAGAGCGCTTCATCAAAATCTGTCAAGCATGTATGTGATATTTTGCTAACAGACAAGGTTGACTCCAACCAATAATGCTAAAATTTTAAGTTAAGAAACCACAGAATGGGATGACATTCCGCTACTACAATAAATTTCAGCTTATTGCCTTTCAAACTGATACATTTGTAGCTATTTTTGCATTGATGAAGGTCGTTTAGCTGTGGTGGCCATTTTGAACTGGTTTGACTCCAAAATATTTTAAGTTTTAGATGTGCATCAGTGATTTCCTTCTGTTTCATTACAATCTGTCCACTAGTTCATGAAATGTTTTGCTAACAGACAGACTGGATGGAGTCCAATGGCAAAGTTTTACACTACTATCAAATTTTAGCTCAATATCTGTAAAATTGCCTGATGAGCTAATTTTTGTGTTTTCAAAGTTGGTTGTGGAAGCCATCTTGAATTGTATTGTCTCCAAAGGATTACTTTTTGACAGTTTCATTTAAATCCGTCCACTGGTCCATGAAATATTTTTGCTGACAGACAATCGGGAGTCTAACAGTTATAGGCAAAGTTTTATCAGGCGACACTCATTTACTGCCATATCAACTTTTAGCTCAGTATCTATAAATTTGCCTGATTTGCAGCCTATTTTGTGTTCTCACAGTACAGTACTTTCTGGTAGTTTCAAAGATCGGCGATCAGAGGCAATGTGTTCAACATAATGGTATTTCCTCCAGTTATTTAACAATCAACAGTGGTGTGCCACAAGGCTCAGTCTTAGGACCCATCCTCGTTACAACATAGTTAATGTAGGTCAGAGCATCCCTGATGCATCCTTACATTTCTATGCTGATGACACAGTTTATTATTGAGCTAAAACAGTTGCTAAGGCTTTCCAACTTTTGCAGTCCACCTTTGACATCATCCAGTCAGACTTGCTCCCTCTCAAACTTGTCCTAAACGCCGATAAAACCAAAGGGATGCTTTTTTCAAACAGGAAGTCGTTCCCAGTAGTTCTTCCTCTGATTTTATCCTCCATTGGTGTCCCTGCTGAGTTTGTCAATTCCTATAAATATTTGTGTATCTTGGACGACTCGCATCTCTCTTTTAAGCTTCACATGGAAAACCTAGTAAGGAAACTGAAAGTTAAATTGGGTTTCTTTTTCAGAAATAGATTCTGTTTAACTCTGAATGCTAGAAAACACCTTGTGACTACGACGTTCCTTCCCTCCATTAACTACAGTGACATTATTTACATGAACACTCCTACAAGCACCCTGCAGATGTTGGATGCTGCCTATCATGGTGCGCTAAGATTCATAACTGGCTGTAACTACCGTACCCATTACTGCACCCTGTATTCACTGGTTAACCGGACATCATTAACTTCACGTAGACTCTCTCACTGGTACATTTTCATCTTTAAATCACTTCTTGGTCTGCTGCCTTCATACATCTCCTCCGTCTCTGCGTGAGTGCAGCTACAGCGTGCGCTCTCAGGACAAAACATGCAGTGTTGGCTCAGTGCGGACTGAACTTGGCAAAAGGGCCTTCTCCTACGCCGCTCCTGTTTCTTGGAATATCTTGCAAAAAGATCTGAAGCTCTCGATCTTGACCTCTGACTTCAAACATCTGTTAAGTTACTGGCATCAACCAATGCAGACATGTTCCTGTTTTTAGTTTTCTAAATCGCCTTATAATCTAGCTGGTTTTTTTTGTTTTTTTGCTACTATTCCTCTTGATTGTCCTTTTGGTTGCTATTTTGTTTTGATTTGTAAAAAAAAAAAGAGAAACTTAAATTTGTATGCCTATGTTATGATTGTCTAGTGTTGTCGTTGTTATCCATTGTTGTCATCACTCTTTAAGAAATCAGTTCTCTCTTGTAAATGAGTCCCCGGGGCTCAATAGGATTAACCTGTCTAAATAAAGTTTGAATGAAAAAAAAAATAAAAATCACAGACTACAACCACTGTATTTACTACCATATCAACTTTTAGCTCAGTATCTGTAAATTTGCCTGATTTGTAGCCTATTTTGTGTTTTCAAAGTTAGCTGTGGAAGCCATCTTGAATCAGGTTGACTTCAAAAGTTTATCAAAGTATTTTAGTACTTTCTGGTAGTTTCATTTTAATCTGTTCAGTGGTTCATAATAAACAAACAAAACAGCAGCTAAATTCAATATTTTGAGCACCTAAGTTTCGGAGATGTTGGTTTTGTGAAAATCTAACGGTTGGTTTTTAAACTAAGGGGAGGGAAAAAATGGCGGTCTACGTCAGCGGCGCTCGAGCCTAAAGTCGCGCGCATGCGCAGTCGTGTAGAATGGGAAACAGCGGAGTAGCGAGGGACGTGAGATTTCTCATTCTTTGTACTCAGTGAAGAGTTGAAGCCCGGCACTGCCTCTGCTCTCGTCTCCATTTTTTTTTTTTAATATAAGCGGGGTTCAAAGCTGTAAACAGCCCGATAAGCCAGTTACTTTGTCCATTTTCTGTTCGTGGAAAACGGTCAGCCCGACCGTCAGTGTCCCTTTGAGTGAGCGCGAGGCTGGACAACAAAAGCTCCGGAGTCCTTCGCTTCGGGGGGGAAGCTTTTTAAGTCGCACACCTCTTTTTATTTATTTTTAATTAAAAAATTAATTAAAAAAAATCGAGGAACCGCAGATCTTCCCGTTTCATTTCCCCTCTCGTACCTCGTGGGGGAACCTTTGTCTTTTTGTTTTGTTTTTTTAACCAAGCCGAGCGACCCACGATGGCAGCTGTAACGAGCCCGGAGACGAGCCCTCAACCCCGGGTATATTTCCAGACGCCGGCCGGCACCACGGAGGAGCCGGAGATACCGGTTCGGAAGCAGGGACGTGTCACCGTCAAATACGACCGCAAGGAGCTGAGGAAGAGGCTGAACCTGGAGGAGTGGATTATCGACCAGCTAACGGACCTGTACGACTGCGAGGTAAAACAATACCCATCAAAGCCAATCGATTATAGCTCATCGATCGGCTCCACTCGATGCTGCTGAAAACGTATTTAAAAAGCAGTTTCTCAGTCGTTTGCTCCTTTTTTGGGGGGGCCTGCTTGTTGCACAGCTCCAACCATTTACAGTCAGTGCTACAATGCAAATAAATAAGGAGTGCCAACGTTTTATTGTAATTTATTTTGTTTATTTCCGCCGGGACGAAGCTCCTCGTCCTCCCCCACAGGTTGGCTAAATGTGGCACATGGTGCTTTTATAGCCTCATTATTACCCAGGCAGCAGGGCTCTTTGTTCTGATTGGCTGAAACGGATTTAAAGCACACCTGAAAGCGATTTTATTAAAAGTAGAGCAGATTTGACAGGAAAAAAAATGGCCGCCATTAAAAAAAAAAATTTTTTTTTTTGTTTGTTTTGCAGATAAAATAGAACATATTAGTTTTTTTTCCTCAAGCCGTGCACATTTAAAAAAAAAAAAGAAAGAAGTTTAATAAATGAATGACCTTAGGGCACTGGTTTGCAACCTTTACAATACAAAGAGCCATTTCTGCTCCTTGGCTCAGTAAATTAAATGCCACTTTACCACCAAATTTTATCTCGAAAGGTGGCTGAGTTATTGCCATTTTTGTGTTGGCATTGTCAGATGGTTATGGTCGACTATCTTGAATTGGGTTGACTTCAAAAGTTGAAGTCACTGTAGACATACTTGCAGTGACTCATGCAAGTCTGTCCAATAAACACCATACCAGATTGATCAAGGTTAACAACTTGTCCGGCATAAGTTGTCTAACAGTATAAAATTGTACTACTGTTAGTTGAAGACCACTAGGAGGGAAATGTGCCAGAAGACAGAGGGAGGAGAAAAAAGTCCAGAGTGTAGGACTGAGGATGGCAACTCTAAATGTGAGGACAATAACCGGCAAAGAGCTGGCTGACATGATGCAGAGAAGGAAGGTAGATGTTTTACGTCTTCAAGAGACCATGGGGAAGGGTGTCCAGGCTAGCAGCATTGGGGAATGGGAGTTTAAGGCTGAGAGGCCAGACTGAGATGGTTTGGACATGTCCAGAGGAGGGACAGTGGGAATATTGGTAGAAGGACGTTAGAAATGCAGCTGCCAGGAAAAAGACAAATAGAAAGTTCAAAAAGTAGTTGTCTGGAATGCAGTTAGGGCAGATATGGAGGACAAGACTACTGCAAAGGGAACAGCTGAAGGAAGACGTGCACATCCAGTGATAAACGTGCACACAGACACAGAAAAAAACAAACATATCACCTGCCTTTGGAAATAATTAAAGGAACCGAAGAAGGGGCCAGTTTGTCCCACCTCACATTTTTCTGTCTTTCCTAACTTTTAATCCCAGCCGAAGCTGAGTCATGGTCACGGTTCATAAAGGTGAAGCTAGCAAGGCTCGATAACGGTCCGTTCGTGCGCATTGACTTCATGATCTGTTTGATCGTAGTGCTGACGGGGCACAACCAACGGCAGCTGCAGCAGCGGCTATCTTTAGACCTCCAGAGCTCCTCTTCAGACGCTCGGTCCTGGCGACACACGTGGAGCCGTGCAGTTCTAATGTAACCCGGCGGCAGCCAGCTGCCGTCAGTACTCGGTAAGGCTCGTGTCAACACTGAGCTGCCATTGACCCACATTCTATTCCGAGCACGGGGGAACACGGAGAATTTCTCGCAGTTGAACGTAAAGACAAGAAAGGATCGCACTTTTAGCTGGGAAGGGATCAGCAGCTTTCATGGTGTGATACAACCAGTAGAAGAGCTTTTCTTCTGATGGTCCGACTGGATTTTGTTTACACCTAAAAGACTTGAAGACGCACTGTTGACTTACTGCAACAACCAGCACCAGCACTTCTAAATGTGCATCCTTTGGCGTCCCATCATTTTTTACATCCACTTCTCATAAACATCAGTTTAACAACGTGCATGCTCTGGTTGATTAATATAAATTCAATCAACCACATGACACCAGTTGGAAACAGGAAGTCGTGACCTCTTCAGCTCTGCTTCTGACTAATACAAGACTCAAAGGGTATGACGGTTGATTAAAAGTGAAGGACGAGCATCCAATCGGTGTTAGCAGTACTGAGGACCGTTTTATATTTTCTGTACAGAGAGGAGGATTGTTACTTTAAACAGTACATTTGAGAGTAATTTAAGTATTTTCCCTTTAAGATGTGGACGTTTAACATGAGAGTAGAGCAACACTTTTTCTTTTAGGCAAAACAACCTGTCTATTGATGAAACTATTGATGCTTGCTAAGTAAACCCTTTTAAACAAGACTACAGTAATACTTTGAAGCTGTCAAATGCTCCGTCAGGCAAATAATTATTTAGTGTCGCTGATGATCAGTTGTTTTTAGCATTTTATAGACGAAAAACTTGCATAAGCTCATTGTATTTAGCTGCTTTGGCTCAGTCACGAGTGTTCGTAACAGTTAATTAAATTGTTATGACGCAAAGTAACGTCCTTCGAGGTGGTTGAGCAGCTGTTGAAGTAAGTGTTAGTGGAAAAAATGATCGATGTGGTTTAATATTAAAATGAGTAAAATCCCATTAAATTAGTCCCATTAATTAGTCAAAACACATACAGGTGAGTGAGGATGCTGAAACTTTTTGTTATTTTTTACGCATGGAGCATGGACTATAACTCATTATTTTATAAAGGTGTAGGTAATTATTCATTCAAGGAAAAACTAAAAGCTTATTGTACAACTTCAGAAATCCAGACTGATGTCTTCGATGGTTCTGTCTTCAAATGAGCTCTCTGACAGATTGGACATGTCCGGTAAAAAGACACCTCAGACTTAAAAAAAAAAAACTAGCAGAGGGGATTAGTGGGTCTAAAGAGGATTTTGAAATCAGCATGTTTTGATTCAGTGCCAGTATTGGATTAATATGGACAGTAAACCTCGCTTTGTTAAAAAAAATGTATATATACGCTGGTATATATTATTGTCTCAGGAAAATAGCTTGGAATCAGAATTTTGCTTAACGGAGAATAAACTTAGAAGCTCCTAAGGGTCCACACGGGACCAGCGTTTTTGTAAATGCGCATAAATAAGTTTTTTTTATGGTTTCGTCCTTGTGTCCACACAGAAACAGCATTTTATGACCCTCAAAACTACATAAAAAAAATGGGTTGCAGATTTACACAATCTTAGTACATCACCCTGAACGTTCCTGTGTAGACAGTCAAAACGCAACTTTTTGAAAACAGTGATGTCATAGCGCCTGTCTCTAATCCAGCCTATGATCCGGGGGTGTCCTCCTTCTCTCTTGCGCATGCTTCTTGTTTTTTGGAGTTATTTTTTTGCTACAGCGCCACGCACAGGCTTGGCGTGATTACTACAGTGTGTAGGCCTGTCGCGATAAACAATAAATCAATTAATCGCATGATAAATGAAAATTCTCAACCTCATTTTCATTTATCGGCTTTATCGCTTCTTCGTGTCTCTCCGGTGCTCTTCACTGACCCCTCCCTTTCTCTTTTTTCTTTAAATTCTGTTTTAACGATCCAAAATAGCGTTTTTGGATCGTTAAAAGCAGCTAAGCTGGGAAGCTAAGCTACGAGCTAAGCTAACAGGCTGACCTCAGGAAAAAACCTCTTGTCTTGCCGAAGCTCCAAAATTCACGGTTGAAACTTGTGCTTTCGTGTAAAAAGTTGAGAACTTGTTTACTGATTTTTTAATTAAAAGCTTTGTGTGACAAATGCTATGCTAAAGAGCTCAAACCACACCGAGCGTCCGCCATTTTGAGAACAGAAAAACAGCAACGAGAGACAGATCATGTCACGTCAAGGGGCCTCCCTCCCATTTTTCTTAAAAAGACGCGCTGCTCGCTTCCTCACTATCCATCCTTTGTTTCAAACTGTCTTATACTGCCATCTGGTGGTCGAAAAAAGTCACTACACACAAAATAAATTAAACATTTCTTCTGAAATTTGTCAAAATGACTAATTATTGTCAAATTTCAACCAATATTATCGTTTATCGCAATAATTTCTGAGACAATTACTCGCCCAGCAAAATTTGTTATCGTGACAGGCCTATTTCGGTGTCTTCGTGTGGATAGAGAGAAATGTTTACAGGTATGATCCTACAAACGACTGATAAAATCCTGGTTTTGAACAAGGCCTTATTGTTAACTAACGTGCTCCTTGATTTCACCGACTGACATGAAGGTTAAGAAATGTTCATCTTTCTCCGGTTCGTTCTGTTCTTTATTTATCCCACGTGGATCTTTCATTCAATGAGTCCACTCAGCCGTGCACGCCTCGGTGTCTGAACGAGTTGCGTTTGTTTACCGTGACTGCCACAAGGAGCTCAAAACCCTCTCAAACGGACAGGATGCAGCACAAATGTCAGGTTTATACAGTCACACTTCAGTATGTTAGTTTATGTCACACAAATTGCAAAGGGCTGTTTTTGGACTCACGTTCCTCCATTAGTTGTATTGATAATGTCTATTTTTATCGTTTCGCCCCTTCATTGTCCTGATCGAGTCTCTGCCGGGGCTGTTAGACAACAAAGAGATGAATTTACAGTCTGTACTGATGGAGACGCATCAGGCTCATTTGGAGTGGGAGATGTGGAGCGCTGAGTGTAACAGGAGAGGCACGTTGAACAGGTCATACTGGGAACCCTGGTTCCTGACAAACACAAGGAAGCGGGAAGGTTCACTCATCCCTTTAAAATCGTCCTTAAGTTTTTTTTTCTTATTAAATCTATCCCTGTTTTTTGATTGTCCTTTCGTTGAGGCATGTATTGAGTGTTGGTCAAACCGGATGGAGTTTGTACATCAGGAAACTCATTTTGAGCTATTTAACCGTTCAGATAATCCTTTTAAGCACGCAACAAGCAGCCAGTCTCTTCTGCCAGACAAATCCATCCCGCCTCTCGGCCGATCAGTTGCTATGAGGAGTCTTGGTGTGATTCCATGGCAACGGAGCTTGAAAGGTGTTTATGTTGGG